GACTACGATTCTCGTTGTTTTGAGCATTTATCTCGCATTGGCCTCTATGTTTTTGGAAGATCTGCAATGATTAAGACATTTTATGTACGGAGAGTACATCTTGACGCAGTGAAACCGACTTTAGAGTATCGAATAAGCTTGAATATAGTCCTCTAGACCTGTTATAATTTCGAAGACATGGCTACGTCCAGGTCATGGAGCGTTCCTCTCAGGAACATCGTCGATTCAACGCCTTTTCTTGGGAATTCAGGTGGTTCTTCCGATGAGTTCAATTCCAGCCGTCGATTTGCGAAGACAGAGCCTGCGCCAAGCTGCACGGTTCCTCAGGCAGGCCAGTAGCCGTAGGATGATGCGCGAGCCATCAATGATTGTCAGAGAGACTGCAGCTGAGCGATTGGAAGAGAGACAAGCGATTGGGCTTATTCCAAACCCGTTGTGATTCTTGATATTATTTGGAACTTTGCCTTTGTTATTGTGGCCGCTACAGTGTTTGTCATGAGCATAAATGAATCACCAAGCATGCCTTTGAGGTTATGATTGTGGGTTACGCTCTGCAATGTGTCCTTCACACATTTTGTGTCTGCGTTGAGTATAGCAGACGGAGGCGTTACCAACACAGTCAATCCCCGCCATTATCGAACTCAGTGCAAGACAGGTTTGGCAGCAGTGACAATTCGAGTTCCGGTTCAAGGGAGAATTCTGGGCATTATGAAAGTTTGCCTCAATCCGCGAGGAGGCTACCAGGTGAATTCCTGCCTTTTGTCTTCCGTAACACTCTTAATTGTGTTAATGAATACAGAAATTATGGATTGTCATGCGAACTTGAGAGCTTACGTTGCTTAATGAAAATTTCAAAATGAATTACAAGCGTTGTCTCACGTGGAATCATTTGATACAATTCTACTTCATGTGCTTCAGCCTTCAGGAAACGAAGAACAAACTTAGCACTGCTAATTAAGGAAGTTTGATGAACTGCACAATTATATCTTTTTGGTCTGCCAATTCGAACTTGCAATTTGCAGGTTGAGTGTGCAGCTACAAGTTTTCATGGCCACAAGTTTTCATGCCAACATGAGACAACAATTATATCTATAACAGCCTTTTGGGAATTGTATTGTTCTCATAACTCGTGAGTCAATAACTAGAGCATCACGTCATTTTTATCTGTTTTGGGGGCGATATATTCTTGTGTCATGTACCTATTGGTGACAAGAATAATTGTTGTACTTATTAATATTTGATATACATCGACGATTTTTATGACATTATTATTATTATTTTTTTCAGCAGTGCTGCAAAGCATCTGGAATCAGCCAATACAATGTTTTCATTTATTTGGTGGATTGTTGGATTTTACTGGGTGTCCTCTGGCAGTCAAGCTTTAGCCCATGATTCTCCTCAGCTTTACTGGTTTGTGATCTCTATTTCGTCCCACCTCTTTGCAAATCCATTTTTTATTTTATTTCAATTACCATTGACAAAATTAACTTGCTCTGCAGGCTATGTATTATTTTCCTGGCCTTTGATGTTTTCTTTTCTTTTCTTTTTCTGCGTTGCACTGGCATGCATTATTGGAATTGCTGTTTGCTGTTGTCTTCCATGTATCATTGCTCTTCTTTATGCAGTTGCAGACCAGGTAAATTTTGGATTAAGTGTTTGTTACTCTTGTTATTACGATGGTATGCCATCAAGAATATAGTATCAGTAAAGTTCATTAAAAAGAACTCTCTCTTATGCTAATTTCAGTTGCCAGCTGGTGAATATGCACATTTTTTAGGATCTTTTACAAATCTCTTCATTTTAGCATGTGCAAAAGTAGTTTTGATGGGAAGACGTGACAATTTTTTTTTTTTTTTTGGCGTGCATGAATGGTTAACAACCTATACTGAACAAATTCATCCATGTCATGAAGACCTGTGACTGCACGAAAATATGGGACAAATCTTAGTTTTATAGCCTAAAAATAACTATATACATCAAAACATTTTGAAGATAAATTATGAACTTCTTTTATCATCTGGAGCACCATCACACACAAGGTCAGATCGAAATGTGATAGGGTACCGATTAATGAGGGATTATGGGTGATTTGGGAAGTTAAAGAAAGGTTAGGAATAATATTATTTTTAATTTGTTTTTAGATTTTATTTAGATATATAATCAAATATATGATATTTATCCAAATATTTAATTATTTAGATTTTTTTAGACATTTATCCAGATATTTAGTTATTTAGATTTTATTCAAATGTTTAATTACTTTGGATTGTATTTAGCATTACAAACACGTTTAGCAACTTAGAAGTAGGCATATAATGAATAAAACAGAGTTTTGAGCTCTTTCAAGATTCTCCAAAGTGTGGCTTTTGAGAGAAGTATTGAGCGAAATTCTTGTTCTATATACTCTTCTTATTTTCTTCTTCTATCTGTTCTATATTATCTTATTAATCTATGAAGTTAGATTTTGATTTCATAGTTAATAAAGATTAATTTTTCTTATTTTTCTCTATCTATTTGAGATCCTATCAAAATGTCTAATCACCTAAGGAAAACAATGCAAGAGACGTTTTCACATACTTCGGTACAATAGCAAAGTGAAGAAAATCAAATTGTTAGGCAAAAAAGCAGCATTGAAAGAGCGAGTTTTATACCTTCGAGTTCCAACTATTCCCTGGAGGATAAAAATATAATATAAAAGGGTCATTTAAAAACCATGCCAAATCCATATCCATATACATATACATGAATTAAGTTGATTTGAATGGTGCTTCAACTTAACCCTATGCAATCAGACTGGGGAACTGCAATGGTGTGCAAAATGTGGACGTTTTGCACACCATTGCAGTTGCGGTGACTTTCTGTCAATCTGATAGCTATCTTCTGTTTCTTTACTGCATTTCTACCATTTCTTTTTCTTGTCATCATGATGAAAAGAACAGCAGAGGGGATTTACAAGTATGTAGTTGACATTCAAACAAACTAGGAGCAACAAGTATATAATTTCCTGATAGAAATATATAATAACAGATAAATGATTTAAACATAAGAATTCACAATCAGTGCACATTTTTCTATGATGGATCGTAACTCAAATTGCCTCAAGCATAATATCTTCTGGTATCTTTCATTTTCGACCCATTCCCAAAAGAAAATGATTTGAAAATGATTTATATCTAAAAGGAAAATGGACAAGCAAGTCATGGAGTTCTTAATAAATTCAATGATACAGATTGGTGATTATTAACGTCTTCCTTCTGTCACTTAACAAATTTAACATTCATTGTAACGTTCACTTTGTTGGTAATTGGAGAATAACACTCATAACCCTTTTGAGTGGAAGAATATCCGAGAAAAATACACTTAATAGCTCTAGGTTCCTATTTCCCCCCACCATCATTATAGACAGATGATGGACACCCAAAAACCCTTTTTGGAATAGAGGTACTGAGTGGTGAAGAAGGATAGGCTTGAAAAAAATTTTGAAGAGGTGTTTGAAAATTCAACATTTTAGAAGGCGTTCGATTTATTAAGTATTCAAAATTGATAATAGCATCCCCCCAAAATTTTCAACTTCAAATAGATGCCTATTTTTTTCCTTTTGAACACTCCATTTTGTTGAGGAGAATAAACACATGAAGTTTAATGATGTATGCTGTGCCCTTCCAAAAACCTTTTAATTTTGAGTTCAAATATTCTTTTCCATATCACTTTGAAGAATTTTTATTGAAGTTTGAAATTAATTTTGAATAAAAGCATAGAAGTTTTTGAAAATTGTGAACACTGCTGATTTTCTCTAATTAAAAAAAAAAAAAAAACCAAGTTAACCGGGTATGAGGCCAAAAGGATGAGACTGTCTATGAGAGTGATGAGAGTGAGAAGGGTAGAATTGCGATCTTGTTCAGCAAATTGACAAGTATCACAATGTCTTGTGTAGCAAATTGTCAGCTATCACAATGAAAGTCAAAAACTGATTTATTATTGATTATTGATGATGGGAAACAAATATTGCATATGATTTAGACCAGGTGGCCTAATCTATTCTAGAGTGCCACACAACATAGATCTCTAGTAGACATAGGAAAGAAAACAGCATGAAAATGATTTGGTGGAGATTCTTGGATATAGTAGAGCTGATTCCATTCTTTAGCATTGTCAATCATTGATGTGGACTCACTAGGTGACCTGCCCTAGGAACCCAGATAATACACTCAGAAATCATGCCCATGTAAGCTAGAACAAATGAAATTGTTGATCAATGAATTAGAACCTCAAGGGAACTTGTCCTTGGATCCTTGATTATAAGGATGACACCTTAAGAGGAGATCAATCTCTTGATAAAGCCCTTGTGCTCAACCATGAACACAATCCGACAAGTTTTCAACTCGCAAAGAAAATCAATTTCCATTCAACTCTTCCTCCTTCCTAAATAGTGTACAATAGGGAAAATATCATCCAAGAATCTTGGGAGAGTTTTTTTAATCAAAGAAGGACCTTAAAAATTTGAAAATTCACTGCATTCCTTTGGTTCGTATTTGAAAATAAGATTTTATGAGAAAGGACCTAATGACCCTAAAGTTTAATAATTTATGGGTGGTTGTTAATTTCGTACGTATAGTTGTCAAAACTTGAACGAATGCTTCTTTATGCATGACCAACATATATACAATTAAACATGTCCTATTAGTTATAGTCACTTGTCAAAACCTGAATGGGTGGTTGTTGATTACATAAGGTTATTTGTCAAAACTCGAATGGATGCTTGTTTATGTAGGATTTGTGTGAATGATTCTAGTAGAGTCAAGGGGAAACAAAGGCAAACAATCTACTAACTCTCTTCAAGCAAGTATCTCACTTAGGAAAACTAGTAGCCAAGTTATGCAGAATCTCCAAAGTCAATACTTGATTAATCATGAATTTGCCTTCTACAAATGGGTAGGCCATATAAATAGGCTGAAAAATAACTGAAGACTACAAAAAGCTACCCAGTTCTCTGAACTTCAAACTTAGTGGGCAAAACTGACTCAAACAAACTCATAACAGACTTGATAGTGTTTATTGAAAATAATAACTACCCCCTAAAAGCTAGGACACGTTCAACAGGTTCTTAAACTTGGAAATAAAATATAACAGAAATATTTGAACTAAGTCACATTTCCTCTTTCTTTTTGCTGCATGTGAGTAGTGGTGGCCTATCACGTCTCCCCCCTTCAAATGTTACCTTCTCCTCAAGGTGAAGTTCTGGAAATTGATCAGCAAACAAATCATAATCCTCCTAAGTAGCATCTTCAAGTGACCAGTTTTTCCAAGATACCAATAATTCTAGCGTATTCCCAGAATGCCAGCAATGATCCAGTATATGATCAGGATGCAGCAAGAGTTTCTAATCATCTGAAATTGGTAGAGGAGCTGGAGAAGATGGTGGTAAAACACCAAGTGTGGGACACAACAAAGAAATATGGAAGATGGGATGAATTTTTGCATCAGATGGGAGTTCCAGCTCATAAACTACCACTTCTATTTTCCATAGAATTGTGTAAGGTCCAAAGAATCTAGGAGATAGCTTCTCATAACTTTTCTTTGAGAGAGATTTCTGTCTAAAGGGTTGAATGTGCAGCAGCACATAGTCTCCTTCATCAAAAACAAGCTCTCTTTGTTTCTTATCTTGCTGATTTTTCATTCTACCTTGGCCTTTAAGAGGTTATCTCTTAATAACTTCAGCATAGAATCTTTGGTTAACATTTGCTCTTCCAACTCAGCATTAACCGTTTCACCCCTTGGAAATGGGTGCAAAGGGGGAGGATCCTTACCATATACCACCTTGAAGGGTGTTGTACTTGAGGACACAAGGAATATAGTGTTGTATGAGTATTCTGGCCAACATAAATAAGCACTCCACTTCCTTGGCTGTTTGTGACCAAAACAGCAAGGGTAAGCTTCCAAACACCTATTAATCACTTCGGTTTGGCCATTCGTTTGTGGGTGATGAGATGTGCTCATCTTTAACTTGGTTTGGCTAAGATAGAACAATTCTTGCCAAAAAGAGCTAAGGAAGATGGAATCCCTGTTTGAAACAATTGATCGGGGCATGCCGTGAAGACAAACAACCTCCTTGTGATTAGAAAGATGAGAAAGTGGTAAGAAGTGGCTATTTGCTCAAGCAATCAACCACAACAAGCATAGTGTTGACTCCTTGTGATTTGGGGAGACCAACAATAAAGTCAATAGAAATGTCTTCCCAAATTTGTTTTGAGATTGGTAGTGGCTTTAAGAGTCTTGTGGGACCAAGAGTCTCATATTTGTTTTGTTGGCAAGTCAAACATTGTTGAACATGCAACTTCACATCATTTTTCATTTGGGGCCAATAAAACTGATTAGTAAGCTACTTAATAGTCTTTAAACAACCACCATAGCCACTTGTAGGGTTTCATGTGTTTCTTGTAAAAGAGTAGCATGCAGATTGGTTAAAGAAAGGATCACCAACTTGCCTTTCTGAAAAAGCTTTTTGGGTGTCCATTGAAAATTTGGCCTTGAATTAGCATCTTACTGCAAATCAAGAATAATAGCTCAAGTGTAAGGGTCCTGTAACGATGCTTCCTGCAACTTAGAAAAAATCCAAGGGCGCAACTATGGATAGAT